AACGAAACATACATAGCAACAAATAAAGGTTAAATCTTTCTCTGCGTTGAAAGCGTGCAGAGTTTTTTTTTTACTGATAAATCCAAACCAAAAATAAAGGCAGGTAGAAACTATGAGACCAAGCTGGAAAGAAAAAGAGTCGCAGTCACAGTGGTGCAGATATTGTACACAGGTAATGAGACAGGCAAGGGACGAAGGCTGCCAAAAAACAGACAGAAACACAGACAGCGAGACAGTCAGAGTTTTAGAATAAACACCGGAGCTCTCTGTGTCGCCCAGGAAGAAATTCTTTTCTTTGATGTCAAGGCATGTGACCTCGCAGCAGTCTGAGGAATTGAAGCAGCGTCCAAACAAACGTCAACACTGCTAACACCCTCAAGGTCGCTCTGTGTGTGTGTGTGTGTGTGTGTGTTTCAGTCGAAAATCTCAGTGCGTGCACATTTAATGTGTGTCTGCACGCTGAGAAGATGGAGAGGGACATGTGCCCCGAACTTGTGGGCTCAGTTAAGTATTTTCACGGCCATTACTTTTAATTAGGGGGAATATTTTGGACATGCATATCTGTTTCTTTTTTTTTTTAAATAAGCCAGGATTTTTCTGTGCTCACATGACCCAACACAAATCAAGCCCAGTTGAGTTTACTTGTATTCCACCATCTGATATGTCTCTAGAAGACAAACCTTGCAGTTGGAGGACACTGATGATCTGTCTATGAACACAGCAGAAGAAGCTGCCAGTGGTCGTGCTGTACCGTGGCACTGTGGTTAGCATCAGCGCCAGGTTTAGACAAGGATCTGCATGACTTTAATCATTTTTGACTGTCCATCCTGTTCTGACAGTTCTGTACAGTGTTGATGTTTGAATTGGAGCAGCCTGTTTTTCAGACAGGCCCGGTGAAGCCTAATGACCGACAATAATAATCTCATTATAACTAAATCTGCAGATGTCCCGCATTATAACATGCATATAACAATGTGGATAAACATGACAAACATAGTGCTATATTTTGCACACACTCTCCCCTGTACTGACATCTTGTGGCAGTGCAAGTTTCCAAAGTAATTAGTTTGTTTTCATGCCAGAACCTATCTTGGACAATCACAAGTTGTTGCTCTAATTCTGTTTACAGTGATAGCTTCATGTGTTATGCTTATTGATGCTTTTGCGGAGACTCCACTTTAGTGAGTTTTCCTCCTGTCCTCCATCACTGCAGCCGTCCTGCTTTCTGTTTTTTGTCATCACAGCTGAATGACTTCAGAAACAACACGGCTACACTTTGAATACAATCCTGTCTCTGCTGGTAAACAGTGGTGTCCCATTGCAGCAGTTTATTTAGGAGTCTGTTCTAACCCAAACAGGGATTATAAGAAAGCCCACTGTTCCCTCTTTTAGACCACTAAGTACTTTCTGTGGCTGCTGCTGAAGGCTAGTAGGCTGCTGAAGCATGTGAACAGCTGTTTGTGTGCAGAGAAAGAGTGAAAAAAACAAAAAACAAAGGTGGTGGCGAGAACAACTGCACGTAAAGAAAATCATCATCAGAGCAGTTTGCAGACGGTGACTGGATGAGAGAACTGGGCAGCTGAGTGAAGCCTTCTAATGTGAAAGCTTGGCTACAGTGCACTCTATTTGCCTTCATCCTAAAGCAGTTGTGGCGTTTTCTTTATTTCCTGCGGTCACATTTTTACTCACTGTGGGCTCAGCTTCCACTGCAACATAAAGCCCTGAACCTCAACGGAAACAGCACAACCATGAAAAAAAAAATGCATTTAGCGTTCCCACAAGTGTTACATATGCTGACAAAATGACAACTTTGCATGGCATAGATATTTTACTACTTAGATATACAGTCGTGACTTGATAATCCAACCCTTAACAATCCAAAAACTTTGCTATCCAACAGGTTTTCAGGAAAAACAAACAGAACCCATTAAAAACAGCCTTAACATACCGACAGCCTTGGAGTCCGACTCTGACATGACATTTTATGTCACAAATAAGGATAACAGTATATTATCTGACTGAACAATTCCACAGATTGGCTACGTTCAGACTGCAGGACTTAATGCTTAATTTGGATTTTTTTGTGGAATCAGATTTTTTTTACGAGTTCGTTCACATTTCTAATTAAACACGACTTATATGTGATCTGCTGTGTGAACGTCATACAACCCAAAAGTGTCCCGCATGTGTAGAAGAGGACACAACGACGTTACACGCAGTGAGCATGCTCAGTGTTTACGGAAGTAAACATGGATGGTAACGGTGGAGCATATCTGCCACTCCCCCACCATCGCCGATGATGGAAACAGAACTGTGACCGCTAACTAAACTGGCATCAGCAGCCAAGTACTGCCTGTGCGTTCCGGCCACTTCCACCCTGTCGGAGCGCCCCCCCGGGGTGGAAGTGGCCATTCAAGCATCAAGCCCTCCTTGTATCTCGACCTCCGTCTTGACAATCGCTTTGCTATCCAACATAACAGAAGGTTTTACATTTAGTGTCGGATTATCCAGTCACGACTGTATCGCCTATCAGCTCCGTGGAAGCACAGCCTGCAGTTCAACTGAGTTTAGCTGAAGAGCTCCTGTCATGTCACTGTTGGTCATATCAGAGTAACTAATGGCTAAATAGTTATATTGAGGAGGACAGATTTGTTTATTTTTACAGAGTCTAGTTTGAGAAAACCGTTCATGTTTGACAATATTTTAAAGGATAAAGTGATTTGATGAAATATTAGGATTTTAAGCTTAGATTTGGTCACATTCTTCCAATGAACAGCTGAAGGGCCAGGAGACAGGTGAAAATCCAACAATGGTTTTTATTTTGCAGCTTGTAGCTCTTACAAATGGTGTCACTTTGGTCATTTATTAAAGACAACATGCTTTTCAAACTCACCAGTAGGTTGTGGCATTGAGAGGGTTAAGAGGGAAGAGACGTCTCAAACTACCTGACTTGGCAGCAGGAAATATTTGTAGAGGGGAAAAAAAGTATTTGAAGCTTTTAACTTGTATTATCTCTTGATATATCTTAGATTGCAACAGCTGAATGAAAATACTGTATTAAGAATGTTGGTCCCCCTGGGGACAAACACCTTGCATCGCCACAAACTGCTGTGGAAGTGCACACTAAGAGCTTTGGATGTTATTTCTGAGGCATTCTACACTGATTCCCTCCAAATACTAATATAATAATACGGAGATATTACCTGCTTTGTCTTTTTATACAGTATTATTAAATCATCTTTACTCATCTCACAAGGCGTCAGAGTTAAACGTCCCTTGTGGAAGTTATAAAGACTAATTCATCAGTAAGAGTCACTCAAGTGCCAATATGGTTTCGTTATTTTTGTTTTATCCGCCAAAACCTGAAAAGACACCTCACCGATGATACGATGTCTCTCAGGAGACATTATAGGAACATGATTATTTATCAGTTGAGGAGAATATTTATGCACAGTCTGGTTGGTATCTACAACAAACGCACAACAGACATCCTTGGAGTGAGATGTAATGGAAAAGCACAGGGAAGCTCCTATTTTCCCGTACAAGTTCATGACCTCACCAACAGCTACTTTCCTCTTAATTTACGCTCATGCACTTCAACAGACACACACACACACACACACACACAATTGCACTGCGTACTTTGGGGTGGAGGCCTGTCATGTTGAAAGATGCTGTTTCCAGCACACCTGTGTGTGTGTAGGTGTGTGTGTGTGTGTGTGCAGGTTTACGTGTGCACTTCCTTGCCTATATATGTGCATTTGTGAGTGTGTCGGCGTGCACGTGTGCGCTTTGAAACACGTTCTCAGGTTACAGCAGTAATGGCTCTGCTGAAACATGTGTCTCCCACTCAGAGGTTCCAGGCTGCTGCTGTGTCATACAGAAACCAGACAGCAGTGTTTCCTCCACAACTGACCGCACTGAGGGCGGCTACGCTTTCCTACAGAGGAGCTGATATGCCAACTAAATATATTAGATTAAACTGGTGAGATGTGATGATAACTCTTCACTGCATTACACTGATTTTGAGAAATCATATTGTCATATCATAGAAGTATTATTCATATTATACTATACTATATTGTCATTATTTTTTAATTATTATATTTCATATATTATTATATATTATTTATTCATGTATTTATACTTCTCATCCACATCCACAGTGTTCAGTGCTATATATTTATTCTACCGTTTGGCTCATTCCTACCTGTATATACTTCCTACTGGCTCCTTTTGTAAATGTATTTAAATATTCTTATTTGTCTTTTCTAAACTTGTATTTTGCACCACTGGAGTTGTCTTTTACTTTCGTTGTACTTTGTGCATGATGACAATAACATTCTATTCTATTCTATTCTATTCTATTCTATTCTATGCTATTGTACTCTTCTCTATTCTATTCTATTCTATTCTATTCTATTCTTCTCTATTCTATTCTATTCTATTCTTCTCTATTCTATTCTATTCTATTCTATTCTATTCTATTCTACTATAATTCCTTCGGCAATGTGAAAGCTGAGACGGAGGATTTTGTGTTTGCCAGCAACATTACACAAAAGTTGTCAGACTCCGGCTCATGAAGGATAAAAACCATTCAGTTCTTTTTCCGATCAGGATGACTGTCTCTAAAGAGCGCTGACCCTGGCGCAGTGTTTGGTGTACACAAGCTGACACGCAGCAGGTTGCTTTATCACTAAATTGCGCTGCTGGCAAAGATTAAATTCACGTCATCGACTCCGACATGTCAGGATCTTGAAATAATTATTTACAGCACATCTTGATGTTATGCATCATGACTGGTTTGCACTGTTTGTCTCATATCAAGTGAAATGATTGGAAGAAGAGCGTCAGTGTTGCAAAGGGTTCTTAGATGTAAGGTATTGCTATTTAATGGAGATAATAATTCAAATATATCCAGTGCTGTAAATGCAGGAAAACACTGCTTGGGAACAGAGCATGTGACTGACTGGACTTTATGATGAAACATTTGATTTTACCTGTAAATGAGGGTTGACTCTCAAAGGTGGTGGATCTGGTCCCACAGCTCTAGAATCCCTGCACACACAAACACAAGAAAACACAATAAGAAAAAAAAAAACAAAAGCCCCTCAGAAAAACAAATACAATCAGAGTATTAATGTAAAACACCGCAACAAAGATTTTAAGATTGAAGTTCTCACAAACCAGCTCTCCCCTGAAGGCAGGCTTTCATTGTTTTGTACACTTGTGATATTCTAATTTAATTAACTAACAAAACAGGACGGCTCCAGCGTTACCCAGGAGCATCAAAGAAAACAGGTTTCCTCCGACTCAGCCTTTCTTTATGCGCAGCAGCCTCGTGCGTTTCATTTATTTGATGTAGCAAGTTAAATGAAATCACACAAAACATATAACGGTGTGTTTGGAGCATTTTTTTTTGTTTTCTGTAATCCAGACACAAAGGCTGCGTGCCAAGAGCTGCACATTTTTAATAGATGTAGTGATTGAAGGGTCAAGTCGCACAGATTCCCACCTGTAGAGTTGGAAAATTAAACTCAAATAAAAATTCCTTATATAAACACGGCACTCTGGGCGGGTCCATTTCTTCATCTCTAAGAAAACACAGTCTCAAAAAAACTGTAACTCACCCTGGATTCATTTCACACAGCGTTTCTTTTTATTGCCACCCTATAAACCACTCCAGCCTTATGCATGTGAAAGTGTGTGTGTGTGTGCAGAGAGACTATGTGTCTGTCTCTCCATGTTGTGTGTCTGTCCTGTGGCCTTTTCTGCATATGTTATCCCCCCCTTAAGTCAGAACCGCCATCTGACAAAGAGGTCAATTCACATTAGGTGTTAAAAAGGCCAGATTGTCCATAAATCAAAGCTTCAACAAACTTTAATACATCTTTCAAACCGCAGCCAGTGGAAAAAAGAAATTAAATGTATTGCAGTGACTCCAATAAGGGTGCCATTCAGTTATCAACAAAGAAAATGGCATTGGTAATTGCTGTGCATTAAAAAAAAAACAGTCCAGAACAGCACTTCTTTAAGCTCCAGTAACATTTAAGCCCAAAGTCGTCCATGTTTTAACAGTCCTAACATGACACAAGTCTTACGCAGATTAAAATAAAAAGCATCTTTTTTAAACTTTCACAAAGACGTAAAAAAATGAAATATGAGTTTGTTTGCGGAGCTGAGACACAGCTGCTAATATACGGACATTGATCACTGCCGTTACAAGAATGTGGAAATGTAACCCAGATCCGGGCTTGACATCAAGAAGAAAGGAACATTTATGGAGCGAGATTAATAACTGTAGCTCATCTTTTTGGCAACAGCTCGGCGAAAGACAAAAACCATTTGCTCTAAACAAGCTGAACTAAGTCTGGCTTTCATCTAAACATTGATTCAAAAAACACGAGCTGCACCGAGGACACCTAACTTTCTCCTCTCCGATTGTGAAGTCGATGTTTATTTGTACCATCCGTACTTAAACAACATAATCTTATCCGTTTCTGTTCGACGTGACCTGAGTGAAGACGAGCACCGTGACAAGTAGGATCATTTTTGCATTCTTGCAAACAGTCGTGCCCGAAAGGTCAAACAGAGAAGCGCTGTCACAAACGCTAACATTAATATTAAAAAGCTGGTGGCTGGAGGGGAGGGTTAGCCCACCTCTGCTCACCTGCAAGCCATCAAGCAGTTATTTTATCAACCGAGGGAAATACCATCCAGTTTACGTCTGATCTGAGGTATGTGGAAAGCAGAAAATGCCACTGTGGGTGTCAGTTTACAGTTCAGCCTTCAGGTATCAAAAGCAGGCGTGTCGTGGCGAGAGCCAGGCTGTGTGCCAGGCGGTTGGTTGTTTCTAAAAAGGATCAGTGAGGCGGATTACTGCCTAAATCCCTTCTTTCACTGAGTTCCTAAAAACTGTCATTTCACTCTCTGCTTTACAATAGGCAATGAAAACACTGACAGGTAGGATGACTCCACACAGCCTGCAGTGGCAACACGTACGAATGCAGACGGACACATTTTCTCTTGTTGCCGTTTCTTTCACAGCGTCCCTCTGCGTGCGCTTTATTGTAACGCGCTTGTTTTGCTGATCTTGTAGTGATGAGAGAACGTTTAAACGAGCAAACAAAGACACGTTGCATTCAGATGACGGACAGATCGCAGCATCAGCATGTTTACGTTGGAAGTCACACGGAGCCATAAACAAACAAGGATCCACACGCTTAAACGTTAATACGTACACCTCAGGTTTTTACGGTTCCCATATAGGTGGAGAGTTTATTTGCATTTGCTGGGCCTCAATACCACAGCAGCATTTTACAATCCATACAGACGTTAACTCTTCAGCAGCAGAAATTTAGGTGGGGGTTAATCTAATTGAGTCGCCGAAATAAACTCAATAAATGGGGGAAAAAACTCATGATACCACATTGACTGGAGCTGCCAAGTCAGTGCATTTATAACACTGACAATAATAAAATTGTCCTGAACTCTGGTCTCATTCTTCAAACCTCCCATCCTCCAACATGTGCAGCGAAACAGTGCTGCCATAGAGGTTTTAGTAAATCCTAGAAAACCATTAAAAGAAAACACATGATCAAATTCATGTGAGTCTGTAAATAGCCGAATGTCTGAACAGAAGATTGATTCATACTTATGGGTAATGTGGCAATCACTCAGCAAGCCTGGCCTTTTACCCTGCGCTCACACATTACAGCTGTGAAGCACTTCTGTTAGCTTGGCACACACACACACACACACACACACACACATACATGCTGGAACACACACATGGACCCCACCCACATTGTAAAAAGTGCACACCAGCAATCACATTATTAAAACCTATATGTCAGCTGGCAGCGTGCCCGATGCCCCGTGTCCAGGCCCTCCTATGTGAAACCGCCACACAAATCTTAAATCCGAGACTAAGTAAAGTCAAACTAAGGAGACATGGCAGCGTAAGATAGCAAAACAAATTACTTTGAACTAACTAACACAAGTTTTTCTTCTCTGTTGCACTGTCTCTCTCTGTCTCTGTTAGACAAACATTCAGGAGAATATTTCACAGCCAGCAACTCCTGTTACTGCATTGACCGTGATCTGGTTGGATTCAATTACAGAGAAAACTATCAAATCATCTGCAGGCCAGAAAAGCATCAGAACTGAGGCTGATGCATCCAAATGCAGCATCAGACAAAACTGTAAACATATATAGAGACAGAACTGGGAAACAGCAGAGAATTGTCTACTGGCAGAAGTTTTAGTTGTTTTTTTAACACATGTGGTTAGAGCAAGAGGTTTTTTATTATTCTGGGTAAATTTGTAGAAGAGGCCTAAATGAGTTGGATGAAACATCAAAAGTTTAAGTTTTGATTTGGTATTTTTTCCCAGTGGGACAGCAATTTGATCAGAAAGTTTAAATCCAAAGATTGTCACTGTTTATACACTGCAAAAAAAAAAGGTAGCCCAAATATAAGCACATATTTCAACAATTTCCCCGAGGTTGTACCAAAGAGATCAATAAAGTTGTATCTATCTATAAGATATAAACACTACATTTGAGAAGAAAATGACTTTAAACTAGTGAAATGATCTGTCCATGCAGCAAGTAAATTTTACTTGATAAGAAATCTTGAAATATGATTTTTAATGCTCAATTTAAGATTGTACTGTAAAATCAAGGACTAAAAACACTTTTAAAACAAGCCAAATTATCTATCATGTCTAAAAGAAGAAAAAAAAAAAAGAGTCCCAGATTATTTGCAGTGTACAGTTTCTGGCTTTAATATATGCCATCATTTGTCACATAAATGCATTTCAAACCCATCTGCAGGTTTTGGGGTTGAGAGGGTTAATGGGGCAAAAACATCACAAATGACTTTACTTGCTATACACGGCATGAGGGGTTTTTTTTTTCTGTTACACTGCCTCTACAGTGATCAGGAAGGATTCAATTACAGAGAAAACTATCAACTTGTTTACAGGCTAGAAATCAGTGTTGAGGCTGCTACGTTCAAATGCAGCTTTAGAGCAAGGCGTTCAGATATGTAGAGAAGGAAATGGGAAACAGTAGAAAATGGTAATTAATGGATAACAAGGTAAGAAATCAATGGAATTAATATTTCCATAGCATTGAAAAGCAACTGGAGAAAGATACAGAGTGTACTAAACTGATATATTAAGCATTTGTATTAAGGGATGTTTGGCTTCAGTAGAAACCGGATCGTACACACACACACACACAGACAGACAGACTTCATTTGCCTATATTCTGTTTTTAGTTTGCCACAAAGTGTTGTTACTGAAAATATTTCCGCATATCATTTTACTTGATGACAGTCAGCAGAAAGACTCAACAAAAATGCATCCCGTCCGTCAACGTCGAAGCGAGCGCGGACCACCCCTGCTGTTTACACCTGCCAGAAAACGTCGGCTGTGTTTGCACAAGTCTGATTGACATGCTCACGTTGGTTCCTGACGTGATTTGTTTCTCCAGAAAACACCCCCAGAGGTGTGAAGTACAGTACAGAGTCGTGAACAGGTTAGAGCTGTGTGTCCGTACGGGTCCGTGCATGTGTGAGATGGTCATTGCAGGGTGAGTTTTAAGAGGTGTCCGAGATAGAAAGCAGCAGTTTAGAAGGATATGACTCATTACTGCCTCCATAGACCCCTCAGTGTGTTCTGTCGACTTCGAGACCTAAAACAAGGAACAAATCCGTTTACCTGCCAGGTTACCAAATCTTTTCCGCCTGTTCGCTCTGGAATCTTATTTTCACCTCGACACTGTGAGGCTGAAATATGTGCAAAATCAACTTGGGATGTTTAACAAGGTAAATGTGACTCAACACGGAAAAGTAGGAACGTTTTAAACCATTAGCCATTTTCTTGTTTATTATCACAAGATGGCTTTTAAAGCTACAAAATGGCTTCACATTAAACAAGAGGTCAGTAAATACTCTTTTTAAACGTCAAAAGGGAGTTTTCAGACATCGTTTTCCAGGATATTTTCAATGGCATAAGGCTGGAATATCAGATGGAGAGCACGCCCTAGACTA